TGGTATTCGCTGCGCAGAGAAAACCGACCCGGAGGCACTTTGCCAGGACTGTCTGAAGCTCAAACATGCGCCACCTGACAACTGCCAGCTGCTCTGAGGCACGTATTGAGCCCGATATGTATGGAAATTCTTGGTATGTGTACTTGTTTCGGGCATGACGCAGACAAAAAAGAAAGCGCTCCCCCTTGACCCATTACCTCAAAGCCCCATCAGGGAAGGCGGCCCAATATTTAAACCTTGGGGCTAAGCCTCGGTTCCCCATCCCTTCTCTTACCCCGATTCCTGAACAGGACCAGCCGGCCTAATGTTAAAATCCTAATTCCACTGGTCCTAACACAAGCACAGAGGAACAAGGCCTGCCCCGGAGTGGGAGCCAAAATGTGTTTTGCTTCGATGACAACTTTGGAAGTAACCAATCTTCAAAAATTAGCGCAGCGTGCAGTTGTCACCTGCCAATCTTCAATGAACTAAGACGAACCCGTCGTGGGGAGCAGATTGAATATAAAGTGGCTTTGGTTCCGGGTGCTATGGTGCATGTGTTATCCTACTCAACACTGAGAGAGACTAAAGGCAGGTCAGGTTCCATGCGTGCTATATTCTAGTTCACAGTATGAATTTTGCACTTGAGTTAATCGCGCGGGATCTTCGCGTTCTGGCAGCAATCACAGGACAGAAATCATCCAGGAATGTCGTGCATCAACACAGGAAGACTCTCCATTCGAGTTGTCGCACGACAACAATTTGCGTGTTCTGGGCGGTGCAAGGGAAGGTGCAATCTCTCCTCTACAAAATGCCTAACACCCGGAAAAAAGTAATTAAGCCATAGATATATTCAGCCACTGAAAAACGTGAAGTGAATAACACTAAATCGTTAACTCGTTATCATGGCTCCTGTCAGTGCGGTGGGAGTATATTACGGCAGCAACTGAGACATGGTTTTTTGGCACCAGTGACTGGTACGCGCAAAAATGGCACAGCGTCGACGACTTCTTTCTACGCGTTGACAATGGCCACATCTGTGATGGTAGACGCACTGGGCCCAGCAGCCATCCTCCAAAACTGCAGCTAATTTGGGGCGTGTCCTGTCTCCGCCAGTGGTCAGTACCTATCAAAAATTAACATACCGGACATTCCAAAAATTTCGCGTCAGCCACCTCAGGGTTTTCTTCGACACGCTTTACAGACCATTCTCATAAAAGATACTAAAATCCAGTCGTCGAAATACAACGTGACTGTTTCCCGGTTGGTTTAATCTCACTTTCACCAGTATGCCAATAAACCTACACCGGCCGGAAGGCCGTAACCGCTGATGGTAAGGGTCACAATAGATTCAGTTAGATTCAAAAGAGAGGTGTAGATTTGGCATCCTAAGTAGTTAGTTGAGATTGAACTACGAACTCACGTCAGCTTCTAACCATATCTACAGGATGTCTTGTTTGGCTCTGGTTCTGGTACGAGACCATGGCAGGTTCAACATGACGGACGACCAATGCGTGTTAGATTTTTAAGCGGCTCATTCTAGAGGTAATAAAACACAACAATTCTTATATTAGGTGGATTATACACTAAAAGAACAATACCTATGAAAATTACTAGTTCCATTTCTACCAATAGATCTTCCTAAATGGTACAACAGTGAAGGCGCTTAAGGGCAACAATGTCAAAAAGTTAGAAAAATACACGTAAAAAATACAAATAAATGCCAAGTACTCCTAAATTATATAGAATAAGAAAAATGAAATACCAGTCAGAACCATTGCACCTCAACATGTTATGTCTTTCTTCATCAAGGGAAAAACAACATCAGCATGGAGTCAATGATATTTGATCAAATTCAATTACAAGTTTGTCGTTTTCTTTCTCATTTCCAGAAATTTCACACACGGGAAAAATGTGCATGCATTTAAGTCTTTTGGCGAAACCTTACAGTGTTGAAAACAGAGTCTCAGTTTAATACTTGCTTTCAGTATTGCATGATTATAGTCTAAGAACAATCAGCAATTTAGTGCGTCCCTCCTCCGAATTATGAGCCACAGGTGGTTGGACGTTCTGATCAAGGCACACATAAACACTTGGTTCATGTCAGTATCACACGACTATATATACAAGTGGATGAGCTGAAAAATCCAATGCCACCAAAATAGTCACCGCTTTAACCTGTAAACTTATTCATTTCTGACTTCCCCCGGTAACTGCTCGACTTCATGTAAGAGAACGGACAAGTGGAGTCTCCTGGCACTCATGAGTTCAACCTTAACATATGCTGTACGACTAAACCCTCCCACGAGTTCTCACATCTCTGTTGAAGCTGAAGTCTTGACGCAGCTGTTTTACCATTCTCGCACTCCGAAAATAGCTCCAATAAAAAACCCATTCAATTTAATCATTCAACTTTTATTTTATTTGTATGGCGCCAATTCATAACAAAAGTTAATCTCAGACACTTTTCAAATAAAGCAGGTCCTAGACAAGCACACTACACCACGAGGCAAGCACTTGCACGGCGGCAAGGAAAAACTTCCTTTAAGAGGGAGAACCCGGACAGACCCGGCCTAGTGAGAGAGAGATACACGAAGAGAGAAGAAGAGAGAGAGAAGACAAGATAGACAGAGAAGAGGTAACCAAAAAACAAATAAACTATTCTCGAATTATTAATTTTTCTTGCAACGCAGAGCTTAAGCAAACCTGAGGAAGCTGCAAGCGAAACACGTTGCTCCCTCTTAAATAAAATCACAGTAAAGTTATTCCACTGTGCGGTGGTGTCCATACTTTTCTGACTGGGGCTGTACAAACTTGGCACTGTGTCATTCCCAGTTTATGCATTTCAAATACTGTTTAGGGACCCTAGTAAGCAGAAATGCCCTAAGCAAAAATAACACATTTATGTATTTTTCCAAAAACTGCATGGGATTAGCATAAGGTGGGCATGTCTGCAAAAAAAAAATTGTAGTGGGTACCCATAGAACCCGTTTTCATTCAGATATCTTGAGGTCAGAGGTCAAGGCATCTCCTTGGAAATGGAAATGCCAGTTTTTCCATCGCTAAAATTTTGCCTAAATTTGGAGCGTTTATAATATGGTCTGGACAGGAGTTAGGTTGCCTTTCTTCATCTGTAGCATGAACAAAATGTTTACGTTCAGGTGCAGTTTTCACCCAAAAGAGGACTTTAGAGTGAAGGATAACCTTTTATGTATCTATGCCCTTTGCCTCACAATCTGTCCAAGGCCTCTAGGGCCTCTAGTCTTATTTCACAAAGACGTTTGAGCAAAAGTTTCACAGTTAATGAATACTGGGCCAGCCCAACAGGCTGTTCCTTTTATTGGATAAATAATTGTGTTTCTTGTGTCAATTAGCTTGTAGCCAGTGCAAATAATGACTGTATTGTGCATTATCTTCCATGAATAGACGCTCTCTCAGTTTGTGGGGCTGTTCTATATGTGATTTCCCAAAGTGGATGTGAACATTTCAAGTGGGGGGTGGGGTAGTTTAGTGAGGATTTACAATACATACGCTGTCTCCCCTCACCAGCCAATGCCATGACGTCTCTGTGGAATCAGTCCACATTCCTTTTATTGGGCCAATCCCAACTCCCTGTCCAAAATACCCCCATCCACCACTACCAGCCTCCCAGCCCCCGCCACTTTGATCAGTGTCCCGTTTCCAAATTCTCGCTGAAGTGGAAGATATTACCAGTGAAGGGAGTTATGGAGGCGGAGAAGGGGGAGGCAGAGGTAGATATTTAATGAAATATATTAAATGAAATACATTGACAAAGTCATTCTTATGATTTGTTGCAAAAGTTGGCCTTCATTGGGCTTTCAGGAACAAGAGGGAGGCCAAATCAGATGATTATACACATTTTGACATATTTTCCTCTTTGACCCTTTCAGAAGGCCGTAAATCTCTTTGACACCA